AATTATGCTTAAGTCAAAGTTATTCTTAACAGTGGGATAAGATACATTATTTCTGTATTAATCATTGTGAATTAATTCTGGGGGAGAATTGTGAGTAATGAAATAAAGAACATAGAAGAGAGTCTATCTTGCTTTAGAAAGCTAACATATCTCAGGTGCTAATCTGAGGGCACTTCAAAAGTTCATGGGAAGATTTCTGTCTTTACAAGTATTTTTTGGAACCCCCATCATGTAAGTAGCCTATATTAGACAAGACACTAACTTGAGTTAAAAACTGTAAGGTCTTTGAAGTTTAAATACAAAACCCAGAATATACAGTGGAGGTTTTTGGATCTGGATTGGCTTCCTGTATTGATCAAATTCACAACCTAATAGGATATACATTATATAGTACTGTCTCCTTTAAGATATTACTCTTTGATCTTTACCTATAATAATCCATTTTAGCTCATGATTATACTGGACTTCTAGTGTGATGCTATAGGATCAGCACTGGACTGTAAACAACAAGACTGGCAGTTCAAACCCACTAGCTGTTCCTTGAAAACATACAGGGTCACTGTGAGTCAGAACTGACTCGGCGGCACTTAACAACAGCAACAACAGTGATTATACTGGATTCCTGATTTGGCACTGTAAAATAAAGCACTGGGCCATAAGGTCAGCTTGAACTTCAAGGTCAGTGGTTCAAACCCCCCAGCTGCTCCTCAGAAACCCTATGCAGGGTCGATATGAGTCAGATCTGACTTGATGGCACTCGGCAATGACAGTGATTATACTGGTGTGGCACTGCATGATAAGCATTGTTCTGCTAGTCACGAGGTTGGTCGTTCAGACACATAAGCCACTCTTTGGAAAATCTATACAGGATCAATAGGAGTTAGAACCCTACAACAATGATTATACTGTGGGACTAAATGTTGTTGTTAAGTGCCGTCAAGTCGGTTCCGACCCATAGCGACCCTGTACAGGGTTTCCGAGGGTGTAAATCCTTACGGGAGTA